CTTTTTGCAAAGACACATAAGACTTGCTTCTCCTTGTTTCCGAGTTCCCAAGCCATCCTGTAATTCCTCACCTGCACTAGTGCAGACCAATCTGCCGTGGGCAAGGAACAGATCCGGCTCCTGAGCTCCAAGCCACGTGTCCCCGATGTAAACCGAAGTCAGGAATACAAAAACAGCTGCGGAAGAAAGACGAGAGAAAGATCAGAAGACACAGATATTCTTCTATTTCCACACAGAAATACCGAGCCAAGTTGTTTACCTCTGGGACTCTGTTTTAAAACAGCTCCCCAGCTCTGTTCCTAGATGGAAAACGTGGAGTGGCTTTGCCCATGCAAAGCCAATGAGCCTCCTCACAAGAAGGAACAAACCAGTTTCCTGCTAAATCAGACACCTGGAAATCTCACCTGTCACATGCTGTCATGGACCAGCAAGAGGGATCAGCATCCAGGCCCACATGGACTTGTTTTTTTCAGACTGTTTTCCCTCTTGCAAATACATTTCTTTTACACCTTTTGTTCCATTTTAGTCCTTGAAAGGGAAGCTTCTTAGGCCGAGCGTGAGTGTTGTAGCGTCAGAAAACCTCACAGTGTCACCACGCTCTGTGCTGCCCACCCCAGACAGCTTCTGCTTTGAGAAGCCGTGAGCCTGGGTGGGTAGGGGAAAACTGGTTTACTGGATTAAAAAAAGCCGTGGCATTTCCTAGCTCCTCCCACCACTGCCTCGTAACACGATAGTAAGAACAAGACAAGTCACCTCTCTTGTCCGCGTCGTCTTCTGTCGCTGCCGACAGGCACAGGGCTTTCACCAGCTCGTGGAAGGTGCCGGACAGGCCCTGCTCCTCCAGGAGCTGAAGCATGATGGAACTGAGCACAGCGAGCTCCCTGGAGAGCCCGGTTGAGGTGCTGCTGGCATGGCAGAGCCGGCTGTACAGCTTGAAGAGGTTGTTCCTCAGGGTCTCATCCCTGAGCATCTCCCGCGCAGCCGCCAGCTGTGGCAGGACGCTGTTCCGCAGCCACCTCAGCAGTGGGGACACATCCTGCTCCCTGAGGAGGCTCTGCCCGGCCAGGGACCTCACCAGCCACTTAGTGACCACGTGAGTGGCCACTGCCTCGCCCCCAGCTTCACCAGCTCTCAGGGTCTCCCCTCCCTGTGTGCAGGGCGGTGCTGGGAAAGCAGGGTCCCAGTGGGAAACGATGGAATGCAGATGTTCTCTGCATTTCTCCAGCTCAGACACTTCCATGTCTGCAGCAGTGTCATCCTCTCCCACCTCCTTTTTCCCAGCATGACGATCCACGGGAGAGGAGCCTTGAGGTTTGCTCTTGTCTTCAACGCTTCCTGTGAGAAGAAAATCACCACCAAAACAAACATCAGATACTCCAAAGGATTCTCCTGGTACAAAACTGCGCAAGTAAGGTGCTCTCCCCTGCGTTCACTCTGTTGTTGCAATGCTGAGTACCAGCCTCCTTTAGCAGTCTGCGCTGTTCCAAGGGGCTCTCTGAGCTCCCAGGGACTCCAGGCTGCAATCTTAGCCCAAACTGGATCACCCAGCTCCTGAAGCCTGGAGCAACACAACCCACACATACACTAAGTCACAGGCATCATTCCAAAAACTCCCTTCACGTCCTCCTAAGGACTTGGAAAGGATGAGAGAAACTTTAGAAAAGCTAAAGCTTTTACAGCATCCCTTAAGTACAGGATACTTTCTTCACTGATACAAAGCAAACCTACAGAAGCTTTCATGTGCACCCAAAGCAGCTGGGTTTTCCTGCTGCAGGAAACCAGCGTTGTTTTAGAGACCTCCCACTCCCCAGTTCCTTGCACTTTTTGTTCACAGAGACAACAAGAGAAGTCGCACAACTCCCGATATATTTTTCCTTTCTTCAAAACTGATGACAAGAAGAAAAGCCAACTATTTAATTTTCTCTGACTTTATTTATTTACTGTTTTTTCACTTCCATGTCACTTTCAGATCCTCATCTACGCTAAGAATGATTCAAACCTTTGAGCTCAAAGGCCCCAGGCACTGCTTTTCCTTGTAAGATTCTATTCAGGAATACCTTTTTTCAAAGCCTGAAGCGAGATTTGCAACTAAGCTTCATTTTAAAATTCAACTTTCCCTTTTTAAACTGTGTTTCTCCAAAGCTTCCAAATTGTGTTCAGGTTAGAAATCACCACAAGGAAGATCTGAAAAATGCCTTTCCATTTCCTTGCCTCCTCCCTCCAGCTACACCAGTCTGACAGAAGGTGTTAGTACCATTTCCAGAGAAGTCTGCCTCACTTGCACTGGTCTGTAACAGCTGCAACAAAATATGCCTTCCTTGAAGTATTTTAGCACTTACTGAGCAATTCCTTGTTTTGGCACTTGTGGGCCAGGGCCTGCAGGTCCTCCTGCAGCCGCAGGTCTTTGCTGACAAGGCTCCACTTGTGCAGCAGCAGCAGCAGCTCCCTGGCGGAGAGGACACTGTCGTTGACCGTGAAACGCCTCATCTCCCTAAAAGCCTCAACGACAACAGCACGGTATTCCAGCACAGAGCTGAGGGTGCTCAGGAACTCTGCCAGCTTGGCCACATCTACATCAGTCCTGGCAAAAAAGAACACGAGTGCCGTGGATTTTCCTGTATGCGAATTAGTAAGTGCAGTTTTTAATTCTTACCGTCAGAATGGCTAGGAATTAGGGACCTAGGACTTGACAGCAACTGCGCAGCACATTTTTCTTTATTTCCCATGTATTCAAACACCTAAATCCTCCTGTCAATGAAATCTCATCCAAATTCACTACTCAACTGAAGGTAAAAAAGGCCATTAATCTACCAGACATAAAGAAATTCTCCCGGCCTTAATCAAGTTCCAACTGGACAGAGGATGAAATGCAAAGCGACTGAAACAAAAAGCAAAACAAAGGACATACCCAATATGTTTGATCAACGTGACCAAAACATACAGAAATTCATTTACAAGCTGAATAGGAAGAAGTTTCCTCTTCTCCTGGGATTGATTCTTGGCTTCTCTCTTGTCTCCTACATTTGTTAGCCACAGGGTACGGAGTAAGGAAATCATTTTATTTATCACCTTGTTTTCCAGAAACCTGAAAAAACAAACCAAAACAAATAAACCAAAACGAAAAAGCAAGCAAATAAACAAACAAACAAACAAAAAAAAAAAGGAAAGAAAAGAAAAGAAAACCACATTTGGAAGGCGGATCCTCACCAGCAGCTGTTCCATCACCTAGGGGACTATCTTCTACTGCACTTGGGGTGCACTTGCCTGAACCTGTCAGGACAGTCTATGCAGAAGAGATTTTTGGCGTCTGTGTGTATATGTGAGGGAGACGCAAGGGGAAGAGGAGTGTTCTAGACAGCTCAAATCCATTACTGTACCATTTCCTGTGCAGCAGGTCCTGTGACAGGATGTCAACTGAGGGTGCTTGAAATTTAGAAGTCAAGACACCAATACAAGGTGCCATTTTCTTTCTCCATTTCTCAAGGAAGTGTTTCCCAAACCATGAGGCCCCCCACCATCATCCCTCCTACCACAACCCGAAAGCCCCTTGATTGTCTTTTCAAAACAAGGGACACCTCAGAGTTCAGCAAGTATCTGCCAGGACAGCCCTCAGTGCTCCTGTGTCCCCGTCTGCCACCCCTGTCTTCATACTCAGTCACAACTATTCTACTGTGGACAGTACAATTGTTCCCGTTTCTCCTGCACTTCTCTGCTCACCTTTTCTCTAAGCTGTGCAGGAGCCACGTGAGGAGGCTGTGATCCTGCATCAGCTCATAGGCAGCTCTGGTGACACGGGCAGCACTTTGTAGTATCTCCAGAATACGACTCTGAAACAGAAAATGTAACTTGCTCTTTTACAGTCAGGATCTAATGATCTAACTCAGAATTAGCAATTGGACTGCTATCTGGTCAATTTCCAGCTAAAATGAACACCACGTGTTCTCAGCAAGTCCAGGGAAGGAGAGACATGCTCTGGTCAAAGCTTCATGCCACAGGTGCTACTCTTACAAAAACTCTTCAGGTAGCAGGACAATTTTATCTTTCAGTCCAAGATTTTGATACCTGACATACTTGGGGTGGATGCTCCCAAACCCGAGAGCTCCTGGCACGTGAGTTTCCCTCCTGCTGAAGCACTGTTCAGGTAACAAATGTGCTGGCTGGGACCAGAGACCCCCAAAAGAGAAAAGGCCCTGACTGTAGGAGCAGAACCACGGTACCCACATGAGGCTACCTGATGGCAGGAACCTGTTCCAGTTTCAGGGGATAACGATGGGATTAGTTTAGAAACGAGCAATTATTTCTCCCTCCTCACATAGACAAAATCAACAAGGAACAGATTTTCTAGAGGGCAAAGGCAGAGTCAGCTACTCCTTTCTGCTTTGTACTTGAGATCTCAAAGCCATGCAAACTTCTATGGTTTGGGGTTTTTTGGTGCTTTCTTTTTAAACTCTTACCTGGGAGCCCCCATCACACAAAGGACTGTTGAAAAAGGAAAGAATGATTTGGAAAATCCTCTGGTAGTCATAAAGCTCATAGCAATGTTTGTCACGCAGTCCTTCCCCCAGAAATCTGAGGATCCACTCACGCTCTGTTTTGTACTGGAAGACACAAAGAAAAATACCACCATCAGACATTTCCAAACAAAACCTGTTCCTAAGAGCACAAAAACCTGGTTCCCTGCGAGTGTCAGCTCAGGGCTTCCCACAGCTTGCTCTGGACTTCTCCATTTCCATTCCTATCAAATTTAATCACTAACATCCATCAGGAACAGTCAGCCTGCAGCCCAAACATGCAGTGCAAATGGAATTTTAGAAGTTGCTCCTCCTAAAATACCTCAGTTGAACTCAGTGATACTGATCTGCACTCAAAGATGAATGTAGCCTAGCTGGGGCAGAATATTCTGATTAGTGTGCTATCAGAGCATACACAGCACAACTTATTGTGCTTTGGTATTAAGAAAACCGTAAAAGCCCCAGAGAAATCACGTTGAATTCCAAGATGAAACAAAATAAAGATGCTTCTAATTGATCACCTATGGGAGAATGAGATTTCATTGTCTTCTTACAGCTTTTTTTCTATACATCTCTGAAGAATTACTGGATACCTAAAATGGGACTCCTACCTCAAAATCAAAACTGTAGAAAAGCTGGAAAAAATCTGGTACTTTCCTCAGGTCCAAATACTGGTGCGACAGAAGGAATCTGTTGACCTTTATGTACATGTGCTCCTCTGTGAAGAGAAAAAGCTGGCACTGTGGAGGAAGACAACGTTCCCAATCCACAACCACGGACAACAAGAAATGGAGGCTGCGCTGTGCAGAACTGCAAGGTGGGAGAACAGCCCAGGAACTGCAGAAGGCCTTTGCTCTGAGGCTCATTACACTGCTGGCCATCCCGCCCCTTTTCTTCCCCAGAATGAAAAGCTCAGTCAGGAGTGCACGAGCACAGAGCAGGCGAGGAGATGAACATTCCCCAAGGCCCCGTGTTCAGTGACACATGCAGGAAGTTCCAGTACCTGGCTTCAGCATCTGCTGTGCCACACGAGCGATGTAGAGGGTCAGGGAGAAGGTGAACCTGAGGTTTGGCTGCCTGATTCCATTCTGCACAGCATCCAAGAGGTACAGCAACTGCAAGAGACCAGGGAGAGAAGCCTGAGCCACGGCCCAAATGAACACAACAGGAGCGTGAACACATAAATCGGCTCCCGAGACATTCCATAGGCCACATAGGTCAAATATCACTTCCACCAGCATTTCCATTCCTACAAACAAAATTCCCAAGAATTTCTACAACACATTTCCCACTTTCTCTGTCCACAGACTACAACAGGAGGAAACAGAAAGCAGCAGAGGAGAAACAAGGAGACACAGCGATGATAAAAAGCTTCTTTTAGCTGCCCCACCACACACATGTAGGTGGATGAGCAAGGCAACATCTCTCCCACACGTGTCCATGACCTATAAGGTCTCACCTGCCCATGTGGCAATGGAGCTGAGCCTTACCTGGCTCTTCTCTCGGAAGCGAGCCCCTTCCAGATGGGAGCGGAAGGAAGCCAGGACAAAATACGCAGCCGCTCTCACGTTGGGGTCATAGCTGCTCAGGGCAGCCACTGTGAGACCCAGGCCATTGACTTCCACAAACTTGTGACATGCCACCACACACTCTGTGAGGGGACAGGAGACAACAAACACAAAGTGCCCGGCTGTGTTAGCACTGACGTGTCCCGGTGCATGGAACAGCACTGTAATCCTCAGCATTCCTGGCTCTACCCCCACACACTATGACCTCAGTGCACGAAGGCTCCTCCAGCTGACAAAGAACTTCAGCAATTCACTCTGAGCAGGAATTCTTCACCTGAGCTGAAATTCACGGGGTCGTTTTTATTTATTTATGTTGGATTGACGTGAGAGAGATGATCCTGCTCACTAGGCCACACAAAGCTAGGGGTAAATTCTGTAAAGACATCTTGTATCCCACTATTTCAAGGAAGTAGAGTACAAAGAAAAACGAAAGGGAAAATTCATCTCTCCAGAGCATTTCTGGGTGCCTGAAAGACCAACACTAAAAAGCTTGTGTAACAGAAAGGGGCCCGTAAATAACCCATAAACCACAGCAGCTGTCCCTGTGCAGGCACAAGTGACTCTGGTGTTAAGGCCTGCTCTGAGCCAAGTACTCAGCTGTGTCCCTGAGCCCTTCTGGGTAAAACAAAATCCATCAATGACCAGAAATCAGCCCAACAGAAAACAGGAAACACATCCTTCAACGTAGCATTTATCTTCCACAGCATTTTGCCATCAGGATTTGGAGTTTCTCCTTTAAGGGTTTATGCTCTGTGTGTTTTCAAGGGTTGCTGCCACTTCTACCCACTGATGGCTAGAAATGGCTTGGTGTGAATCCTTCACCTTACCTCCAGGAATGGAGCACAACAGCACATCACTGCTATTTAACAGCTACAAATGTACCGTGAGTTTAGCGATAATATTCCTGTATTTTATCATTCGCACTGAAGGTCTAGAGGAAGTTTCAAGAAACAAATATTCCTGTTTAAGAAGGGGCTGCAATCTTACTGCCAAGTACCTACATTTGGTCCAAAGACTTCCTCCCCCAGCACTGCTCAGACTAGTGTGTGTGTATGTACGTACACGTGTGTATATACGTAATATTATGTAAAAAAAAAAATCAGAGATTACTTCTGTCCCTGTACCAGCTATTTCCCTCATCTGTTTCTCAACTAGTCGAACTAGTAAAACTCAGTTTCATGCCTGGCAGTTTCTTATTGCCAGCTCTGCTGGTTATGGGCCAGGTGAAGCAGGGTCTCCACTTCCCCACCAGCCAGTGCCATTTGTCCCAGAACCACCGCTCAGCTCTCCTTCAGGCAGCAGCTCTGGGGAACTGCTGATGTGCACTAACCATTCACACTGTGCGGCAGTGCCACGGAACGAAATCCAAGGCTCTCGCTTCAGCAGACCACAAGAAGATTTGGAAAACTTTGCTTCACTGAAAACATGCAGTGGTAATATTTTCCATCCTGCTGACCCTGGAGAGCGTGTTCAACAGCGAACATAAAATAACAGGCTCTTATTAGAAAAGCATCCCAATTTAATTCTACATCTGTCATAGGGCTTGTTTAAAGGACCTTGAGATTCAGGATGGAAAAGCTTTCCACAAGATGCTTATCAGAGCTAACGATAGATAGAACTTGCTATCTGCCCAACCCCAGACTTACTTTTTCCTCAGTGAGCACTAAACACTGTGCAAGAAGTCCATGTTTATGTATTCTGAGGGCACTGTGCAGCCAGGACAAAGAGCAAGTAAATAAAGAACCGGGAATTCCAAGAGCAGCTGACATGGTTTACAAGCACCATGGGACTGGACCCTTTAAAAATGCCCCTCTTAGGACACAGATTCTCAGTCTGTGTGGAGAAACTAGGAGGGCTATTTTCTCCTCTCCAGGTTCAGATTCAGGACAGCCTGTCTTTACAGCTCCACAAGAACATGATGTACAGCAATTCCCTCAACCCTGATGCTTCCCACATCAGCAGCCACCGCCCGGCCGCAGGGCTGCTGGGGCTGCCACAGACTCCAAATCCCTCCCTCCTCGGGGTGGGTGCTGCTGGCAGTGTCCCTTTTCCAGCTATTAGCACTAGGTTCCAAAGACACCAGCTGTCCGTGCTTTTCAACTCTGTGCACCTCAAAGGCCCACCGGATTGTCTAAGAACCCTCCAACTGCAAAATGCCAAATAGTTCTGGTACTTCTTTTCCTCAGAGGACTTAAAGACTCCTCTTTTCCTGCTGCCAGGACTACACAGAGCAGTTCAAACCACAGCTAGGGACAGGCTAAGCACACCCAAACAGGTGCTATGCTTGCAGGGGTCTGGGTGAGCAAAGGACTGTGAGTGTGATTTCACCGACAAACAGTAACAGCCTGCCACTTGCTTCTGACAATACTGCTGTGGAAAGCAAAATCCAGCTGTTACTACACCATGCTCAACCATAACCAACACAAGGAGAGAGCTGCTTAGGAAATGCCTTAGGCTTCTTGTCTCTCTTTGACCTCTGAGGGCTCTCTCCACAGACAGTGTGCCTGTGGGGCACAGTAGGGATGTGCCAAGTGCGTGTGCAAAGCCAAGTCATGTCAGACAAGAAACCTGCTGACAGTTCCGAGCACCAGCCTATTTGTGAAACATAATGGCCTTACACCTGTCTGTCTGGTGGAAAATGAGTTGGCTGAAGTTGCCCTGCTCTACAACCACAGCCTGTGACAAGCCAGATCTCCAGCCAGTTCAGTCACAGCCCTGACAGGAGTTTGTTTCTTCCCTCTAAAGTCAGGCGCAAATTCCTTGCAGTATTAGCTCTTGGATCAGGGATAATAGAGCTCCAGGTGAAGCTCCTGCAGCAGAGCAACCTGACACGAAATACCAAAGAAAAACACACACTTTACCTGGTCTGGTCAGTTCACTGAAGAGCTGAAGTAGAAAACAAGGATCATAGAAGTCATCAAGGCTCTTGACTGTTTCATCTTTATATAGCGACTCTTGTACCTCCTGAAACCAAATCCAAACCAGTGTTTATAAGGAATAGCACCAATTTCTAGGCTGGTTTCAAACTTCCAGAACCACCTCATCCCACTATAACCCACTGATACCACAGCTTGTAAAATAGGATGCAAGACAGGGTGAGACATGGTTGTGTTTAAATCCAGCTTTCACTATGAGACTACATCCACAACTATTTCCCCTGAGCAGCACCAACAGCTACAGAAGCATGTCAGCAAACTGTAAGAAAGGCTGGAGAGCCCATTGCCAGTGGATCCTTGGGCTGTCCAATCCTGGTCTCACATACGTGACAACCTTGGCAATGCACAGTCACCCCTGCTGACAAGCCCATATCTTCCAATTAATTTTGAAAGAACTGATTCCAGTCCTCCTATGAACCGAAATTACTCTCCTGATGGAAACAAACTGCAGCGTATTACATGGATGCAAGAAATGAATGCCTCGAGGCTCTTGGTGTATATCCAAAGAAAGGTAACCACACGCAGGCTGAAGGAAAAGCACCTGTGATGGCAGCAGGCGGCGATGCTGAGGGAACGACAGAATCGTCCTCATCATCTTCTCTCGATCCAGCAGACACAGAATCTCCTCCATGCTTGGCTGCTGCCACAGGGACTTGCCCAGACTCTTGCAAGTCTTGTGATGCTCGACAGCAGCTGGACCCCACAGCAGGATCCTTAGACATTATTAAAGGTAACTGTATTAGGTAACAGAGCCGAAAGCAATTACAAAGGAGATCAATTAGCACTGTAATTTTGTCTTCATTTGTAGTTATTACCCTGTGGGACTTGAAACTAGAACTTGTTTCCCTGGCAACACCTTTTCCATCCACCCCAAAGCTTTTCAAATTTAGACTGAGGCTGTCTCATTCACCCTGCCCTCCCGTGTCCATCCAAGTCAGATCATATCCATTTAGAGGCACCTAAGGTTTTAAGCTTTAATTGCAGGTAAAAATGACAGCAGCTGCATGAAGGGACAGGGATCCAGACCTGCCTCAGCCAGTGCTCTTGCACTGCTGGTGGTATTTCTGCTGCTACCTCCAGGACAGAAAAGCACATCTGAGGAAGGGCAGACCAAACCACAACTGATGGCAACAGACTTGCCTGACCACTGCTTGGGCACAGGAAAGGGAAAAGTCAACTAGTGACTTACGTTTTAGCCTCCCATCTGTGAGGAGACCCCTACAGTGAGTCCCAATTATGGCGAGTGAGTGACTCCAGAAATGAGACATTCCCTCATCTAACCCACACACATACAGGAGTCTGGGCAACATAAGAGAATTACATTAAGAACAGGAAATAAGCAGTAAAAACGTCTCCAAAAGCAACATTCACCTTTAGATTTTACCTCATTCGCTGTCTCCTTCATTTAAAAATGAGACCCTGGAAAAATACCAGTTGTGAGACTACCTGTGTGTAGTTTGCCCGGCAAAGTAAGGTGTTCAGCTCACCTGGAGTTTATGAGACTTCGATTATTCTTCTCGTACAACTGAAGCAACAGCAGTATCTTCTGATCTAAAACCCAAGAGCGAAGCCAAAGTTAGTGAGCTGTGGAGACAAGAACGAGATGCAGAAGGACTTGCCTTTGCCAGGCTGACACTCACCCACGGTGCTCAGCGTGGCCCCGTAGGCTCCCAGCAGCACTGGCAGGTGACTGCTCCCACAGAGAGAGGGGCTGAGCTGCACAGCTGTCAGCAGGATGTCCACCAGCGCCTCTGCAACAAGCACAGCTTGAGAGTCCTGCAGCTCTCAGTCCCACAGAGCACAAATAAACACCCCCAGACCCACACCACATGGATGCACACACAGAACTGGACATTTTACATCAGCATCTATCTCCAGAGATACCACAGCCCATTTCCCCAGTACACTTAAGGGTGATTATGACGCATTTAATTCAAGGGAGCATTTTAAAGCAGTATTCCCAATCTGAACACACAAGTCACTCGGCCAGGTGAGGTTCCCAGTGTGGAACACACTGCTCTGCAGAAGCTTTCCATGCGTACACACCTGCTCTCTGGTTAAAACTGAGTGCCGTCCCCTATCTTGCCACAGCTCCACACCCTCCTCCCCCAGGAGGGCAGCTGGAATGAGCTCAGGAGTTGCACAGAGAAAGGCACACACATCCCAGCAACCTCCCCGAGCACTCGAGAATTCACGGTTTCTCACTGCACACTCCAGCTGCAGCAAATATGAAAAGGCTCCTGCACTGTGCAATGCAGCAGGGCTCAGCACTGCAGCTAGCTCGTGAGCCACAGGAACTCTATCCTGTGGGGTACAAAAATTATCCACCTTTGCTCAGTAACTAACTGAGAAACAGAAAATATAAGTGATTGGGTTCCTCCAAAGCAAACAGGCTGTCCGTAGCACACTCAAGACTCGACTGCAGATCTCTCTACTCCCAGCATCTGAGAAGGCCTGGGCTTTGACCCTAGTTATGTGCAGGAATATAAAATCCATGTCAAAACTGAAGAGCTCCTAAAGTACCAGCCTAAGTGAATGCACTCACGACACTGAGCTCCTCGAATACTGCAGCTGGCCTCAAAGAATACATCCTGCTGATCTACAGGAATACACTCTAAAGGTAAGACACATACATACAGTAAGCAGCAAAATCTATTCCTTATTTTTCATTTCACTAAACTGGTGACTTCACGAGAGCTTTTTCTCTTTTCAGGTGTTTTAAAACTTGAAAGCTTGTTCACATGCTGCTCATCAATAAACACAAAATTTGTTATCAACATGCTGTCCTGAGAATTTCCCCCCCTTTTCTTGCACAGCTCTTTCAACCACTACACGTCAAATTCCTGTACAGTGGAGAAAAGATGAGGTCTATGTATATTAGATGTGGTTCAAGGTCAGGCAGGATTGCAGTTGCCAGTGAAGAAGGAACAAAAGCCAATCCCATAAATGAACTAGCATCCCGTTTATATTCCTCTGGAAAGATATTCCTCATAAAAGGTTGCAATATGAAATACACATAATTTCAATTGCCATTTGTGATAAAACTTGCAGAATCAACTTTAAATGTCCTGTATCAACCTATTTTAAAACATGTTTAAACATCACAGGACCTATGTGCACTTCAGTGACCTTACACGAAGTGCCTCAGAGAAACCAAAAGAATCAATCCAAGACTTCAACTGGGCTAAAAATATCAGGAAAACAAACCAACAGAAACCCAAACCAAAATAAAAACCCAAACTAGTCTTTCCAGTAGTTTTAAAAACAGCATGAAATGAATGTAACATTTGGATCCAAGCAGAGGTAAAATTTAAATGCCAATACTCTGGAACCGTTAATCATCCCACAAGTATTTACATGGGTGGGTGTGTTACTGCATGGAGAGAATACAATGCAAGGGAAGATTGCCTGTGTTTAGTACGGGAAGGAGACAATTAAAAAATACCTCTTGTCCCGATGTTCGTGCCGTCTTCTTCTATTGACCTCAGGATGGTGGACAAAAATAGAGAGTGCTGTGTGACCATCATGTGAAGTTTGGAGAGCTTCACTAAGCTCTGACTAAGTGAGGATTCTTTCTTGTATAATAACTGGATGGCAACGTTCAGGACCTTCAGAAATCTTTCATCTCTGTAACGGTACCTTTGGGAGAATGATCACAGGGAAGTCAGATCCCAACCAGACCCTAGGAAACCTGCTTGAAATTAAAAGCTGCTTAAGAAATGAGAACTTGGCCAAGAAAATGAACTTAGTAAAAGCAAACCAAATTAAAATGAAAACACTTACTTGAGTCCTGTCTTCACAAGGCTGCACCAGTCATCTGGGTCCACTTCTTCAACCACACGCTGTGCAAAGCAAGTAAAAGCAAAAAAGTAAAAAGTAAAAGTTGGTTTACATTTGGCACACGCAGCTTCTGTAGAGATTTTTGTTCAAGGGACACACTAAGAACACGCAAGCCAAACACTCACGTGGGATGATCGGAGAGTAACGGGGAAGAAAGCTCTTGGATAGAACAATCCTAACGCCTGCTTCAAAAGAAACTGCAAGTGTTTTGTTGCTCTGGGAGCAGGGGAATACATGGGCTGTAGGTTCCAGAAACCCAGCGACTCAATGCTCTTCAAACTCCCAAGGCGGGAAAGGAATCGCAACTTGACAAGTCAAAGCAAGAGACTGAGTACCAGGTTTTTGTGTGGTTTAGCTGACCAAGCCTTGCAAGTGGCAAACAGGGTGGCTGGGGTAGGTGCTCCTTACAACTAAGGTGGTAGGTGCTCCTCCTCTGAGGAGCTGGGAACCACAACAAACCAGCCACTCTGGAGAAGACTGACAGCCGCCCATACCAACAGTCCTGGGAATGCAGGTGCTAGCCTCACCAGGCTGGAAACACCCTCAGGATGGGACGGACACTGTGAGGTGGCCCCAGGGCCTGCAGAGTCAGCCGGGTCCTACAAGGGATTCTCAGCAAAAGCCAGTGAGAAGGCAAAGGCATCAGTGCTCAGAGACCTTCAGTACTATGTGTCACAGCGATTTGTGTTGATTGAACTCAAACCAAGGGCACAGTACAGAAGGGGCAATCAAGTAGTGTTCTTCAAGATCCAAGTCTGGATTTCTATTTATGATCAACCAGATTTTTGCCCCAGACTTCAGATGGCATGGTAGGTGGGCCTTGGCAGAACTATCTCTATCACCTTTTTTTAATTAAAAAAACCAAAACAATAAAATCCACTGGTAACCCTTGACTTCTTACTCCTAAATACCTCAAACTCCTGTCTTCAAGGGGGATTCTTACCAGAAAGCGATCATCAAGAACAGAAAACTGCTTCATATAAAAGGATTCTCAGGACTAAGTTAACCTTGCAAAAGCTATTAAAAGCCCATGGAAACCAGATTCCCTAAAACAGGAAATCAAGCCAAATCTACATTTGCAAAGTCTGCAACTGCCCAGTCACGCATAGGTATACAGCCCCACTGTGTCAAAGGAGATAAGAAGGCTCACCAATAATTCCTCCAGCCTCAGCAGCATGGACCTCTCCACTTCTTGCTTGCTTTCATCTCTACTGCTGCTGTACACGGCCACTAACCCCTTCATGCAGGCTGACAAGAGACGTCTCCTCCAGGAATGCAGCTCCTCCGAGTTTTTAAGCACTCTGGATATGGCATCTGCCACGGCCCAACTGCAGAGAGATAATTACTGATTTTTTTCCTAGTATTTTAGCTTGCTTTTGTATATGTTAAAGATGTCTTGCTACCAAAGTGCAAAGCAACAGATTCTCTGAGGGGAGGACGCCGTTACTGCTCCCGCTCCCATCACAGTGTTACCCGGGACAAACCGTGCCCTGAGGGAGGCGCGCACACACTGCCCACCTCTCTTCATTCCCTGCTCTCTCCAGAGCAGCTGGAAGCTGGTCCATTAGGTTGTGCAGCCCTTTGCTTTCCGAAGGTGGCAACAGCTTGGCAAGAATTTGCAGTTTCACGGAGGCCTCGTGCGACGCTCCGGCGTCCTGAATCCCAGCACAGAGCTCCTTCCACAGGGCTTTCCTCAGGACAGGCGTGACAGCCGCGACAACTGTTGGGAGAGCAGAGGGCACAGCTTCCACCACCTGCAGGTGTTGATCAACAACACACTAAGCCCAAATCACTTTCTAATCCTGGCCCAGACCGCTCAGTTTCTAGGAAACGCTGCTACAGCAGCTGCTCATCTGTTACAGAGAAGTGCTACAGAGAGGTTCACTTCTTTACCCATCCTCTACTTCCCAGGGTGCTGACACGGTCTTATCACTGCTTGACCTCGTAGGTAGAGCTACAGCCCCAGTCAGCCTATTTTCTTTGCTATTTACTTTGCTGGGCAACAAGAGAAATAAAATTAAAGTGATCCCGTTCTATCCAGTTAAATCCTAACTCGTTGTTTGCTGGTAGAGAATTTAACATGCTTGCCCATAGATGTAATGCTGCTGTGGGTTTGGAAATTTCTGGACTGCCAGCTTAGGAGAGCATTATTGCAGCCAGCCCCCAGCTGGAGATTTGTTTTAGAAAGAAAAGTTTTGGACTCTGTAAAAGTGAAAGCTCAGGTTCTGCAAAAACCATCTGGCTGTGGCATTGCACGCTCCACTCTTCTATCCGTGCCCGAGCAAAAGGTTTTAGCTCCTGTACTAAATCAAGAGAAGCACTGCGACAGATTTTCACATGCACTAAGCATTAAATAAGGGCTTCAAAAGAAAAATCCGTGCAGCAGTAACTGTAAGAGCACTTGGCTGCAGTCTAACAGGCAAGCCTCAGAACAGCTCTTCACCATTAGTGCTGCAGAGGTACCGCCAAGACAGTCATTAGAGGTCAGACATCTACATTTTATCACCTCTATCTATGGCGGGAAGATTGCCAGCCCGTAAGGCCAGCAGATCCTAAAAAGGGAATCTCTGGCCTCCAGAATCACGGGCAGAGCTCAGCGGTGCCTTTACCTGTGGAAGGTCGGCTGAAACCATGCTGGTCTCTGCACTGCAAATACACATGGACGAGTGGAAGAAAGCTCTCCATGTGTTTCCTGAGGTACTTCCCAGCGGCACTGCTCAGACACCAGAGCTCAAACTGCAGCAGGTGAGTCCTGGAGTGCTGGATCAGCATGGCCACAATGGCCAGGGAGGTGTGTGAGCATTGGGCAACACAGTGAGCCTGCACCTCGACACCAACTGCGAGAGCAAGGACTGGCTCGCTTTGGAGAGCCTGAAGGAAAACTTGCTCCAAATCTTTGCTGGCCGATGCTGACATCAATTTCCCCAAAGCTTTAACGTGCTCTGCGGATAGCAGAAGCTCTCCTTGCTGGGGATGTCTTTGGTAGCTGTCTGTAAGGAGCTGCACCAAAATCTGTCCATAGAAGCTTAACTGTTTCCCTGTTTGAGGGGATTTTTCAGATTTCTGACAAGTCAAGCTCCTCTCAGGAAGCTGCAGCATGGTTAAAGTGATCTCCTTCAGCTGAGCTGCAGGCATGTACATGTGCAGCTCCTCCAGAGCCTGCAGCTGGTGAGACTTCCTGGGATAGACCTGGCTTCTGCCCTTCCCCACAGTCTGCAGCTCTTCCAGGACACTTTTGGTGATAGCTTCGAAATATTTGGACAACATGTGTCTGTGATCCGTTGTGATGCTCTGCAGGATGGGGGCACCTGTTTTCAGCAGCTGGAGTACCCCAGAATTGAGGTGAGCTGAGAGGAGCTTCGCAGTGACAGGGTTCAAACCAGGCTGGGGAATAGAGCGCAGTTCCAATGCCAGGAACCAGCTCTCCAGGGTAGGATGTCTGAAAATCAAGGTGAGTGTATCCTCCAGCGTCTGTAACAAACAGAGGTAACAGTATCACTGAATGGATAATCAGGGTGCAGGGTGAAAAATAGACTCATTCATCTGCCTATTTTCCACAGCTTGTCAATTACAGTTATTGAACATGAAATTGTCTACTAGTTGGCCAGAAGATAAAAAATATTAATGAATTATAAGCACATAAATATCGTTCTCCCAACATTTATACTGTGGGATTTATGCTGTTATACTGAACACTCTGCACATGTCTAAGCTCGTCTCCAGAGGAAAACTGAAAAATCTGAGGTTCATCAACACATTCTTATCTCCACAAATACACAGAACAGATGAACAAGGAGGAAAAATTCACTCCTCAAGTACATAACTTTCAACAAGGCTTTACACAGGGCTGAGGGAATGTATTTTTTTCTGCAAAGGTGATTTCATTTGGGACCTTGCCTGACCGTGCTCCACCTCAGGGGTGGGACTGTGGGTGATGCCGCTGGGTCACATCTCCAGACAGCAGTTTAGCAACCACATGCTCTGTGTTCCTAAGTTCTCCTCCAAGACCTCGACAACACCTCTCTGATCAGCAAAACTACTCCCCAGAGAATCAACCAAATCAAAGTTGACTAGCAGGTGCCTCTGCATGCAGGAATGTGGTACCTTGCCATTTGACGACACTTCTGTCATCAGAGCCTCCTCATCCATAAAGAGATCTGCATCGGCCTGATGCTCGTCCTGCTTCTGCTGGTGCTCCAGCTTTATTTGATTGCCCCGGCACAACAAGATGCTCAGCACGTCCACATAGAGGTCAACAAGTTGAGGACCCAAAGTTTTACCAAGCTACGAAAACGACATCACGAAAGTGAAGAAAAGAGGAGGGTGGGAGCAGAAGGGTAATTATCCAACAGGAATAGGAGTTAACTAAGAACTACTCAGATTACAACCTCTTCTGGGGGAAGGAACCACTTCCCTATGTAGAGACCTGATTTTAAGAGGTGCCTCGGATTGCCAAATAAATACTGATAGATTTTCATTTATACTGTGACATTTGGAGGTACGCAGGCCAGTGAATTTTACTCTCTGCAAATGCTTCTTAGGGAGACCCAGGAGCTGGATTTAAATCTCCAGTTTATTTGCACTCACACCGATCAGCAATGTAAGCCATGCAAAGTAAATCCAAGGCTCCTCAATAATAAGATCTGACATTGGTTTACAAATTAGGTGCAGTTTTGTATGGTGCTGTGTAGACTCAGAGCCAAGTACAGAAAGAAGAGCTACAGAACTAGAACCTACGTTTTAACAGCTAAGTCATTTGTACCTTCTATATAAAAATAAACCAAACACAACCACAGTATTATTACAATATTGCTCTTACACTGCTGAAGTTCTCCACTGTGGATTTCAGGTACAGCAGCACGTGCTTTACTCCCAACAAAAGCTGGTCAGGTGGGAGCCAGGAAGCCAAGTCTCTCAATTTTGTCTGAACACCATCTTCCAGTAGGGTATTGCTTCCTCTCTCATAGGCTCTCTTTAGCAAAGTGGTAAATACAGAATCCAGTGGCACAGCGGGTTCTTCGCTTACCTCCTTGTGGTCTTTAAACTGTTTAAAGTGAAAAAAAAAGTAAGAGAACAGCCATGATTTGAATATGAAACAAAAATCTCTTTAGCCACCCTTGTTTTAAGATGAGCTCTGAGGTGAACCCAGGGTGAAGCTAGAACAGAGCCGTCCAGCAGTGCCCCTGGGCAACTGTAGTGTTCACTGCTGGCCTTACAGAAAAACTCACCAAACCTAGCCCGGGGGGTCTGTGATCCCCAAGCCACCCGAGGGGAACTCCAGGCACTGAACTGAGGCCACGGCACGCACCAGGCTCTGCTGTGCCTGCTGAGGAGTCTGTGTACGACCCCCGAGCCCTGCTATCACCTCCCAAACACCACAAAGACCTCTTGTGTCATCAGAGGAAAGCCCTGGAGCAAATTTGCAACCCAGTGTGATCAAACAGAAATAGAAAATTAGCTCAATAAAAATGCCCTTTCTGATGGAAATGTAACCTCTATAAACTGTGAGGTTTTTATAGGAATACCGGCTCAAGAATTCAGTGACTTCAGCTATTCCATACCACAGGCTCCTGAGATTGCTTGGGTATCCAGAGTTTATAGTACTGGTTGAACTGGTAGAGCTGAGGATACTTGGCAACTTTCAGGGTCTCGAGATCTTTATCATAGAGCTGGAACATCAAGCAGAGAGCAAGGGGTTCTCTCTGAGAGTGCAGGAGCTCAGTGAAAACAGCAACAAGGTACTCCACGATGTGTGCTCCTAGAAAAACAAAAACAAATTTAACTACTGACATGAGCACAGACAGTGGAGCAACCCTCCTTACTTTGGGGCCTTGGCAGCAGCCCACAGAGCATCACTCAGAAAAGTACTGAGTAAGATGAAGAAGTGTTTGTAGCGACCTAGACAAGTGTTCCTGACCACTGAGGTACCTGAAAAATCCTCCACACATTAGTTCATGCCCAAGTAAATAATTCACCTTCACTGTGTTGTGCTAAACATGCCTGTATTTTAACAGGAAAAGACCCCTGCCAAGCAGCACCTCAGAGAAGAACTGATTTGTACTGCGGGGGGGGGGGGGCACACACACCAGTTAACGTGTACAAGTTAAACAGAATTTTCTTTCAAAACTGAGACTTTCAGTCCCACCCCAGATGCTACTTGACCACCAGATACACACAGAGGACTTAGTGAGGTTCTGAGGGGTTGGCAGATTCTGCTCCAAGCCCACCCGATGCCCCTGTGACTCCAATGCTTTCCTCAATGAGGTAGTAGAACTTGGCAATATTTGCCACCAGAGCTTCATTTCTGAAGAAGTTTCCTTTGGAAAATGCATCCATTTCCGACTTACCAGTGCAGTCCTCTCTCCCTGATCTCGGGAAGAGCTGCCTACAGCCATGGAAACCACCTTCCTCTCCTGATCTCCACACACTGTCCTAAAAACACTGTTACAGAAGCTAACTACTTCCAGACCAAAATCGTCCATGCAGGCACAGTGTCTCTTCTCTTTAGGGTCAGGGGAAAAGGGCAGAAGCACCTAGGGAGCTTCAATGCCTCTCTTGAGCAGGAAGCACCATGGATCTGCACCACCTCCTGCTTGCAGGGAAGATAATAAAATGCCTCAAGGTAAAAAATGATAAATGGTAAAAGATTATAAAAAATGGGTAAAAATGATGCCACTTTCACTCCACTAGAAATGATACATAAAACCAAAACAAATCTGTACCTCTTCCATCTTCAGAATGAAGCAACAGTATATTCCTAGCTTCTAATGCAGCAGGGACAACAGCACTGAAGGGAAATGTTTGGATGATCATGTCTTCATTTAAAGAGAACCCAACTTCTTCATCAAAGCCATCACTGTCCTCGATCAGGACATCCACCATATCCAGGACATCTAATAAGTGAAGAAAAAAATCAAAGCAGAGAATCCAGACTAACAGGAAAAACAACAGAGGTAGAATGCAACACTCCAGGAATACAAGGCATCTTTTTAATAAAAAAAATAAAAAATAAAAAAAAGATGAAGGCCACATTTGTCGCACAATACAACGTTAAGTGCAACCCCTAAATTACAGCTGAACCTTCACTCTGCCTTTCAATCCTGCTGTCCAGCACGGAGCAGCTGTGGCTGCTCCTGGATCCCTGGATGTGTCCAAAGCCAGGCTGGACACTGGGGCTTGGAGCAGCCCGGGCTACTGAAAGGTGTC